CCTGCGTGCGAACTCTGTTTCCTAGAAGTGAAACCCATTGCAGCACTCCTGAGGCAAAGCGGAAAGAAGAGATATATTTGTTCAGATCATTTCACCTAAATGGATATCCACATAGCTTCATCCGGCGATGTCTAAACAACAAAGATACGACCTTTCAGAATGCTCAAACGACAATAAAGAGAATCGTTCTACCCTATGTAAAGAACATCTCCAAAATGACAGCAAGATTATTCAAACAGTACCGTCCTACAGTGGGTCACAAACCAACTGCCACATTGAGGAGAACTCTGTCGAAAGCCAAAGCTAGACGCGGAACTCACGAAAGACAAAATGTTGTTAACAAGATGCGATGTCAAGATTGTGATAAAAGCTATGTGGGTCAGACAGGAAGACGACTGTCAACAAGAATACAAGAGCTTATAAGAACCACTACGCTCTCACTGGTCTCAATAAATACGGACGAAGAAGGACATCACTTCGATTGGAACGACACAGAGCTCCTAGCACAAGGAGAGGTGCGAAAAGGAAGAGAGTTCTTCGAAGCATGGTACTCGACGCAGCATTCGTTAAACATGCACAAAGAGATTGACCCAGTGTACCAAACGTTAAGACGGAGAGAACTAAAACACCTTAAAAACTGTCGTGGGTAGCTAAACGAGCCATCAACAACACATGCGCAACAGCTGAGGCAAAACCATCCCACGGATCACCCGTGTCTATCAGAGTTGGGCAGTCCTGTGAAGGTCATGGGGCAGCGATCGAGGAGGTCAGATCATAAGGCACTTGCTGATCCATCACAAATTGACGAACAAGTCAGCGGACTATATTTGACCCAGTAACGCGCTGAGGAAGTCACCTCGTTTAGTGATGAAAAGTTTGCATCCCAATTACGAACCTCGGTGAACAAGTGAACTCAAGAACGATCAACCCGTGCCATCAGTGCATCAAGTCATTTTAACGTGAGTGAGTTCACGGCGCTTCCTCCTTCGTTCACTGTGAACCTCGTGGTCCTGTAAGTTGGCTCAGTTTATCTAACACAGTCGCTTTACATCAGCCACAAGCCGAGTATTGGACTGACCCAAAATTAAGAAGCGATTCCTTTTAATAACGCCGTTACATGAAGTCATCATTTGCAATTTTCAGTCTTGTTGATCGGTCACGCGACTTTTACTCTGTGCGATCACTTTAAAGAATGAGATTTAATTCGCTGATCCCGTAACAACGAACTGGACTTACATGTGCCAACGTTTTATGTACGGCGTATTCTTTGACTTGTTTGTCAATTTTGTATTTTGGCTTTTACATCGCCTTAGCAGTGGAGGTACAGGTTCCCAGATAATAACGGAACATTTAAACATAATGCACTTCCGAGTCGGTTCACTTCGTTCTTTCTTCGTTGCGTGATATTTTCAACTCAACAGGAAGATTCCAAACATTGCCACAACTTGTGGGTTTTCCTCAATCGACCAGTTTTCAAGCGACTTACCAACCAAATAATCTATACCATTAGTGCGGGACGCCCTACAACTAGTTACCATGGTAGCATAAAGGGTCCGGAATGACCTGGAGTTAGTTGCTGGACGTCAGATTAGAGCGGAACAGGTCCAACGGTATTCTGTGCTCACTTCCGCTACGAGGCGACAAGCATCTGGGCACACTGCCTCGCTAGAATGGGAAGGGATTGCAGTGTTCGTCTCGTTTTGGATTGTCTATTTGATCGATCTGCTCCCAATCGCCCTGTCAATTGGTTTGTCGTCTGCCTGAAAAAATTTCTCAGCATGTCTAGCCATAGACTCGGTTTATCACGTAATAACATTCTAGTCTACATATGGGAGTGTCTACTCAATAGAACCAGCGGTTCCCGGAACCAAACAGTAAACCGAAAGCACGTGTCTATGCCGAGTCGATAAGGTGAGCTGGACTGGGCAGCAAAGTGAGCGACCGGCCAGCCGAGCATTAGGGCACGAAAAACTTGTGACTCATATTGTTTGGTAAAAAAAACTACCAGCATGCAAATTTTCTTCCTTAGATTTACTGCGGCGTAGATACTTATGGTAGCCCGAGCCACACATGATCCATGTACGAAGTAGATAATCCCACCAGTGCAAGTAGTTTCGTTGTCCAATTTATCAGTGCGTATGATGGTGGTTCAGCGGTTTTACGCTTGAGTGGTGTGATAGCAAACAGCCGTGTCGGACCTGCATGTTTTCGCAAGTGGAGTCTCACCGAGTTCACCACTGACCGTTTGCGACTTGACACAGCCTCTAGCTAACATCGAACAGCATCGAATTAATTTGCACTCTGAATGCACCACTGAGCTGGACAGCGTTTTAGGCGGCAATATTTACCCTTAGAGTAACAAGATGGTGTTCGCGGCAAGTGTGACCCAAAAATTTACATGAATCATGTACCAAGGTTTTTCACTTTGTGTTTGTGTGAGTTGTCGTTCAATCTAGCTGCATGCAAACCTGGATGTAATTTCAGAAAACCACTCCAATTAAACACAGCAATCAACATGTAGCTGGATCCGAATGGTGCAAATACGCTGGTCTTTTTGGACTTACGGTAAAACTAGACGGACTATCAACTTGAATCTACCCTCTGATGCAGTAGCATAAGTGAACATGGTATTACAATTCTACTTTACAAATGATCCCCTATCAATTGAAAAGGTATGCCGTATATAGGAACTATGCAAATTTTTTTACTCAAATGTTATCGACGAATACCCTCCCCACATTTGCCAATAATTCTATATTTAGACAGTTAATAGATATAGTAACAGGACAGTGAACTCTGACACATTTGCGGTAAATCCATCGCTACGTGTATTTTTGTTTTGACACGTCCACTTCTGTACGCATTCTTTACCTACGAAAAACTGGTAGACGTTTGCTATATTTGTCTGTGAAAAATCCATTGTTCTACGATGATTCCCCTTGGTCAACAATGCGCTGATGCTGATGGAAGTCTGTGAGGTGATGAAGATCATCGCGTAATGCCATGCTTTGTAAAATCCGTAAAACCGCATTCAAATCCAGAGGCATACAATATCACTGTCAAAGCCAACAGAGCGAAAAGAAGAAACACCAGATAATAATTCATTTGCTATCTGACCACAATGTGTGTGACACAAGTGGCTCGGTGAATGTGAACACACACACTTCCAACTGATGTGAAAGATGAGGATAAAAATGGTCCGAGCGTGAACGCCTGATTACGAACCCCATTCCCCATCTCTGTAGCCATAATTCTACTCCCGGGTATGCAGAAGAAAATCGAACGGGTGCCCAGCAAACGGCTAGTGAACAGGGGAAATTAGTAATTGTCTTGCTTAGAAGTCGGCGTTCCTAGATGAGAAGTATCCTCACGAAAGTCGGTCTGTCAATCCCCACATACTGCCTATTAGCAAGCATTCAGCAATTTATTATAACTCACCTCTCACAAAGGCATATCAAGTGTGCACAACACATAAACAGACATGGCATTTCGGCTATTTGCCCCGTATTCCATCATTAAAACAGCACAGAAAATGTCATAAGGTGTCGAGAGTAAGCTAGTGTGCAAATAACCGCTCACAAATGTATTATTCAAGAGCATGATAACAAGTGATCAAAACGGCCTATCCAATTATACACAGTGTCTCACACACTAGCGAAACATACCGATTTTTATTAATGTAAGCAACCGGTCTGAATTATAACAGCATATGCCAGAAAAACGGCCCAAAACGCATAACCCGGACTTTGCGTTCAGCTCAGTATTACCCGAATTCAGGTGAATTGGTCCAGCTAAAGACTGAATGTAAGACAATGCACTTCAGAAAAAGTGACTGAGGCAGCTGGTGAGTAAACTCGCTCGCTAAGGTGATAGCCTTGTACAGCTACGAATATCAATTCACTACAGAGTTACAAAATGCCGCAGCGATTCCGACATTTCGCATAGTCTTAAGATGGTAGACTTCATAACGTTGTGGTGCTTATCGTGAATATGCCCACTTCGCATTGGATATGTCAGGAAACCGGTCATTATAAATACCGAAAGTTTTAGTGTCGTCGGTGCCGAACGAGTAACGATGAGACTAGTCAGTTGTGGTTACGGAACAGATTCACCTGTGCTGCGCTACACTGTCGGTTGAATTCAACTCCATTACGAGACCGCTGATTGTCTTCGCAGGTGCACATGAAGGGTTGCCGGTGTACTTAATTGGGTGAAATTGCGGAGTAACAGATCTACGAGGATGTTAACCGAAAGATTTATCTTGCCGAATAAGAGGCTCGGGTTAAGTTATGACCGGTTGGGGATTTTGTCCGACATCGGCAAAGGTATCAGTAGTACGCTGGTAGGCAGTACGGACAAGTGGCACGTAGGCTAAGCATACTGTGAGGTTTCGTCTGGCGCCTACGCAGGCTCGAACCCGCGCCCTCAGACTACAAGGCAGGCCTGTGATTCTTAAGGCTACTGGCCGGCCTAATCCGACATAGCGCTGCAACGGAGTCACGGGAACTAGTGCAGTTTGCCCCATGCGTCAACAATCCAATTTGAGCAACATGCCGTCTTTCCCTTAACCCCCTTCTCTTCATTGCTTTATACCCCCTCATCGTTCTCTGTCATGGGCGATGTTTAATATAACGGACAATCAGGTCATGACAATTGCAAGCAAGTTGATGCGCGAACCAAATTTGAATGGATCGAGCTGAGAAAAATATGGTGCCAAACGCGAACAAGAGGCTGTGGTAGAACGCACCGAACCGTACGGGATTCTGACGATAACACCAATTCCAGTGACTATAAATCAGTTATTATCATGAAGGATAAAGCATCGTCACAAACGGCACCGCCACAGGACTTTTACTAAATAACAATGAAGTTAGAGATGAGAAATAATAAGAGGGGGATCACAGACCTGGCATGAAACGGAAATGCGCTAGGGAAACATCCGTGTCGACACCAAACGGTTCCAAACATTCGGCAACCGTGCAAAGATAAGCAGACCCAGCGACATGAAAGACCTTACTCCACCGATAACCAGCAGCATACATGAATTAGAAAGTGAGTTCGAGTGCAAAAGCATCACTATTGTCCAGAGTGAAGCACAACTGCGGACTCTTACGCCGATCGTAGCAACCTGCATCGAGCCTAAAAAGTCTTACGACAGATGAAATCCATGTGAAAATCCGATATTCGTAAAGGACAAGTAGACATCGAAAGAAAAGATGGGAAGTACGAATTACAAGTGGAAAATGCGCTCGTGTTAGCGAAAAGTGCATATGGTAATATACATTATGAGAAAAATTAAGATATAGGGAACATATCACAGTAAACAGGCGCCCACGTTCGGAATGGCATTCAGAATGCGTCAACGGCGGGTTCTACTTGTGGTTTCAGCGTGCTGTCGGTGGAAGGTAACGACCAAGGGCATATGTATTGATCAGACAGTATGCCATCGGCTGCATCGAGATCCTCACCAACTGCCAGTGCCACAGCGTTTACCGCTTCCTTTTGCTGGTGCATGAAAACTCCGTGCAAGTAGTCCCGCACCGAAATGCTACTGGGACTGGTTAGTGCATCCGTGCTGGCAGAGCCAGTATAGCAACTAATGGGTGTATCAGCACCACCGGTAGCTGGATCCAAGGTATTTGCCAAAAGATCAGGGAGGATATGACTGTGAAGTAGCTGTATGCTTAAGCGATACTCTGGTTCTTTTTGCAGACACGAATGAACCAGGCGAATGAAACCGGAAGAGAAACAATATGCGGGAAGCCGCGGGGCAGGATGCTCGACCACGTAGACAAACAACTCGAAGATGCTCATATGTTCATTCAGAATGCCACCCTCCAAGGCTGAGAATGGAAAGAAGAGAAAAAGGCGACCTTGAGAATAGAAGAAACTAAGGCACAGAGTAGTGATTCAGGTGAGCAATGGTCCAATATATTCATGCTCGGCCCCGTAGCTCCGGAGTCGAATGGAACCTCGGCATAACCCTGAACCTTAAAGACGAGGAGAGTGAGATGAAATGCCAAGAAAATTTGTTCAGATACCCGAGGCATTAGAGTGCCGCACGAATTGGCGTTGAACAGTGTGCATCAACTAATCCGTGTAATGTGGAAGATACACGATCAAAGAGGTTAGATATAATATTGCCATTTTATTTCACTTAGTAGTAAGGTGAGCTGATTTCCAAGAACCGTGAGAACCTAGCATCTGACATGTTGAGACAACTGCGAGCACATACGATCTTGTGCTGAGGGTTACTGCCCGCACAGTGTTGCGCTGGCAAAACATGGCTGGACCAGAAAGTTAATCATTGTCAAACAGACGAGGGCCGGCGACTTGCGAGAAGCTTGGACGTAACACAGCGGTTCAGTTGAACATTGGGAACCCAGACTGGCTTGCCGAACAACCTACTCGTGGTGGCAGCTTGGTGGTTCAGGATTTTCCCGTTCCAGCAAACGGTTCGGCGGCAGTGTTCCAGGACGTGGTGGGTTCTCGCCTGGCAAGCGTTCTCCCTAGAAAAAGCCACATATGTCCGTTTAACAACACTGTGACGTGGCGGACGTGACTGGCCACTAAATAAAGTCACTGCCCCTTGCTTCATCCTAGCGAAGCATTGTATTCCAGCAACTTTGTGATGTAATTCTGGGGAGCATTTGGCCCTGTTTGACAAAGGAACAAACGAAAGGCGTATGAACTGAGCAATCAGTCACCGGCTCCCAATGAGCGCGATTCCCTGAATTCGCTTCGCTGCCTTGCGGACAAGCTATTCAGAAAAAGGCTCGGGGTGGTATCCCCTAAGTCAACACCCTACTTCGGCTTGGGCAACCCGGTAGTATCCCGCCCTCTGACGAAACCATGGACTTTAATGTGTTGTGTTTGCTTTTACTATTTCTGTACCTTCTTTTGAATCCCATGGTTTTTGATGACTTCATATCTATTCATAGACCGTTGCATATATATATATATATATATATATATATATATATATATATATATATATATATATATATATATATAGGTACAGAAATGCAATGAGCATAGCTTCCATAGTTCGCATAGGGATGATAACAAGGATGCATGGTGAACGAAAGTGGGAAAAACAAAGGCAAACGTTGACCGAGAAATAACAGAGGAAATCTCGAAGAGGTGTGATGAACGATTAAGGAATCGAAGGCAGCAGAACAGCCACAAAAGCACTGTCGGCTGTACTACTTTTGGCACGATGCATAACCGAAAATGCAAGTAATGCTGAGAAAAAAATAATGTGCATCGGCCTGACTCATTCCATCCGTTAATGCTTTGCGGTGATAACGTCGAGTGATAAGTTTCCTATAAGCACACTGAGGATCAAGTTGTTTAAAAAGTTTGACAAGTTTCAAGTCAGATTGTGAACACTTAAGAGAACGATAAAAAGAAACCAAAACCTAATCAAGTGTAGCTATCGTGGCACCTATCAGCAAGGAAAAAGTAATGCACCAATGCTACCTGGTCAGAAATTTCGAAAACAACAGACCCCTGCCAAAGCGTATCAAATCGTCGTCAAGTGAAGCATAGTATCACATCACGCATCCTCATAGATGCATGGGCACACACTTAGGAGCAGTGATCAATGGCCCACGGCCGCAATGCGCCTAGAAACTACTGCAACCGTCGTTTCGACATGAGGGCACACTCACTGTACTGTTAGTGCAGCGATTGCATTTGGGTCACCTCCCCGAGCGCTCATACCTAAGCAGAAACCAATGGTTTTCCACCGAACTCACTAGAGACGGCAGCTACCAGGAAATCACAATCCTGAGTGAGATTTTCTCAAATGTGACTGGACGAACGACACGCTCTTACGAGGTGGTAGCAGTAAAGATTAAGGACGGAAGGTCGCTGCGAATTACGTACTTTTCGCCGAAACTAATAGGATATAGCGGAACCTTGTTAACCAAGATCTATGCTTACATCAACGAGACCTGACAGTGTCTGCGAGGAATCTATGTAAAATGAAAATGGATAGGCGTAAGGTACTCCATGTACTACGGAAAACAAAAAGGCGTATATACCCTTAGAGACAAGGTCTTGCAGAAAATATCGCAGGAACGCGATCTTTGAGTACCGGTTTGAGAAAACGTGGGGTGTTCGAAGCAATCTGAGATGGGAAAAATCAAGTATAAGCAAATCGGACCGTTGCATTGGAAGTTCCGGCGTTTGACCCTTCCAGATAACAGGAAATACTCAACAATAAAGTCGGAATATACGCAGAATACCCCATTCGGAACTTATATCCATGGCAGAAGCGTTATCTCGATGCCAATCAAATATGGATAGGTGTAATGTACTCCATGTACTTCGGAAAAAAAAGGCGTATATACGCTTGGAGACAAGGTCTTACAGAAAATCTTACAGGGGCGCGATCTTCTGGTACCCGGTTCGAGAGGTGTGATGTTCGACGCAATCTGAGATGAGAAAAATCAACTATAAGCAAATCGGACTGTTGCACTGAATGTTCCGGCGTTTGGTCCTTCCGGGGAACAAAGAATACTCAACAATGAAGTCGGAATACATGCAGAATACCCCATTTGTAATTGGCAAAATCCGCTTGCAAGGTTCGAGTAACGTGTTTCCACCGGGGTCAAAGGAACAACAATCCGGAACTGGATAACCGTACTATTTATAAATGAAGAAATTACCACATACAATAAATACCTTAACGACTGTTTGCAAACTCAGAACAGTTACAATCACAATCGTCCGCTATACGAAGTCACGGAACTAAGGTACATGATGTGTTTATAAAACGGGTAAAGTGGTCATCATCATCATCATTATACACGTCAGCTAGAGGTGGGAAAACACCTCCGCTATTGTGCCGCAATACATGAAGGAAATGGTTGGCGGCATCCGGTTTCGGATTTGCCTGTCACTGTGGCAATCCACAGGACGCCTGCGCCTACAGAGGGACCATGGGTGGCTTGCGCTGCACCACCCACACACCCCATATCCAGTGTAAACCCGAAGGAATAAGACCGGGAGGCATGCGGATGGGAGCCACGTTTCATCAACGGAGCCGGCCCACACTCCTTCACAGGCAAACACTGTCCGGGAGAAAGTAATAATTGCCTTGGAAGTTCCCTATTTTAGCGATTAATCGATTATTAACAATTATCGCATCGATTTCGAACGTTCCTGAATGTTCTTCTTCTACACGTGATCAAAATCCACCTGACCTCTCGGCAAAAGATATGGGGAACCACTAACCTTGGCAGCTGACCTTCCAATTCTAGAAGTCGAAGGTCAGTAGAGACCTATAAATACAGCCAAGGTCCACAGTTGTTGTACAGTGTTCGTTGGCTGCGTTTAATACGTTATTTGTCAGGGTCATGGGCGTTTTGCTTTTTCCCTTCGGTTGGGCTAGAAGTCTTGTGGAGCAGTGAATTGTTATTTTTGGAGTTGCGTCTAGTGAGAAGATTATAACAAACACAGACACGCTGTATTTGGGGAATCAAGCGCACACAAGGCGGTGGCTGGACCGTAGTCCGCTCCAAACTGAGTGCATGGAACCACTTTGATCCCAACACGGCCACAAGGACCGTGCACCCCGTCCCCTCCAGCAACGACCAACTGTCTCCTGGAGCCAGTATGGACGAGGTAGTGGGTAACAGACAGGTAGGCACCTTGTCAACATGCACATCAAGCGCAGCCTCACCGGGGATATCAAACAACAGCCAATCACTTGAGAGAAAGATAACAGAGAAAATAAATCGAGTAATGCATAAGGAAAGGGTGACATATATCTAAAAGTAATGAGCATCTGAAGTAAATTGTTTACAGAAGAATGCGAGATAATTTCACGAGGACAGAAAGTATACTTTACGGAAATGCCACGGATACAAAAATGTTTTCGAAAAGGACTAGAATTGGCTTAAGTGACGCGTGCAAGTTTATAGAAGAGAGTACAGGTAGACAATTATATGAGAAAGCAAAGCATTGGGAAAAAATTGAAAACCCACCACCTGAAATAAACAGACATAGCACGCAAGCAAACGGTGACATAAATCTTAAATTAGTGAGCATATGAAATAAGTTGTTTACAAAAGAATACGTTTGCAAAAGAACACGAAGTAAGTTCACGGAGTCAGGAGGTTTATTTTACGGAAATGCTACAAACACGAAAATGTTAGCTAAATAACTACAAGTGGCTTAAGCGATGTGTTCAAGTGTATAGAAGAGAGTATAACTAGGTATTTATATGGGAAAGAAAAGCATTTAGAGGGGAGGCTAAAAGGGATGGGGAGGGACAAAGAAACTCACAGCATGAACGCCACTGAGGTCGGCTCCTTGCCATGTCAGCAAGTGCATCCAGTCAAACGTGTTCACCGTCTTTTGGACCCCAATCAGGGAGCTGTGACGCTCCAACTGAGGCTAGCTCCGAAGTGAGGGACTTCATTCCTCTGGACCAAGTTGTCACTTGGCCACCTCTCCTCTTCTCCCACCCACATCCCCGGTGAGCAAACCACGCACGTCGACGGAGTCGGTGGGCTGGCATGTGCAACACTTAGCCGAGCCATCGGAGCCTGGTGCGTGAAATAATGGTGCTGAGCGGTTCAGATCATTTTCCTGTGCCGTAAACAATGCGTCGAACAAGCTCGTTACTCACGCAGTGTTCCCACCAGATGTGAGCCAAACTGCGAACGCACCGATGGTCAAACGTAACTAGCCTCTTTATGTCTGCCGATCTTAGAGGCCAGGTTTCGCAACCGGACAGGAAGGTCGAACGTACCGCTGCATTGTACATTCTACCCTTCAGGGCGAGAGTGATGTCGCGTCCACGCCATAAGTGGCGAAGGTTAGCAAAAGC